AGTGACCCTGAATAACGAAGTTAATGCTGCCAAAGGAGGTTCAACCAATTATTAAATCCAAGGGTTAACTTACTTTTCCATCAGCACTTTAATGGGTGTGTTCAATAAATACATGAAAAATTATAATTGTCTGTTATTAGCTTAAGCATATTATGTTTGCTGATATTTCCCATTTGATAGTAAATGTAAACATTTTTCTTATATACTGCGTGCTCTGTAAAAGATTATGATCTATGCTATTCTTTTCAGCATTAGAGGCCGGTCTCAAGTACCATTGGCAAAACCACAATAAAGGCCACTGCTCAAGCTGTAATGATGTATTTTACAATCTAAAGTGTTAAACAAAATAGCAAAATGATTAGTTGAACAGCAAAGGCATTTTACAGATAGCAAACACCAAGAGAGTAGTAACAAATGCCAGACACAGCTATATAATACAAGGTGTTGCACCAGTGTTGTTTATGTGTGCCAGAATACTAACAAAGGAAAACCACTGGGGGGAAAATGGTGGTCCTGCTAATTAGGCTAGGGGAAAATGACTTATTCCAAGATGGCTGCCTGGAGAACAATAGTAAAATGACTGACCAACCCCAAAATGCTGGCCAACCTCAAAACCAACTGTGAATGAAGAAGAATAGGCAGTGTACAACAGACTGATCAATAGGAGTTTTGTGTTGACTGACTACTATTTAAACTCCATCCTTTGGGCAAAACTTCACTATTCACTTGCTCTAACACAGATTTCTCAACTTGAATGTGCAATTTGGTGTTAGTTCAATAAGGGCCTCCTCCTGAAAATGACAGGATAGTTCGTGAACACACACAACTCCTGTTGCTCAATACCTCAAATCCTACCTGGCATGTTTGAGTCAGAATAGAAAACTGAACAGAACAACGAACCACAACAGTATTGTTTAATTTGAATTTCTCCTCCATAGATAGGTAAACAATGGTATATGCATTGATGATAAGAGATTTGTAACACTCTAAACAAAGTGGGTAATTGAGAAACCCCATAATTCATACATAGTAATTTCTTCAGCCTTACAATAATTCTCTCTATGGTTACAGAAACAAGGTATTAACAGACATGCAACGTGTTTTTTTTTGTTTGTTTTTTTTTTAAATAACTTACACTTAAGTCCCACCAAGTAGTGGAAACATCACTCCCTTTCAAGTAGCTCCAAGGTCGGTAAATTAAAACAGTGATCGCTGCATCTTCCCCTACATGACCACATACAGTCCCAAAGTAGTGAAATTAATTGCAACAGGTAGCGTAGCACTGACAATAACATCATGGATTGTTAGAATCCTCTTGCCAACCCACAACACATCATATGTGGCATACATATTGGCCTCAAGCAGTCAAAATAAACAAGTACTGTGCTCTGGGGAAATCCAGTGTTGATGAGCTGATCATTCACTGCCCCAGGGTGCTTCACCGGCCTGCTGATCATAATTTTCCAGCCACTCCATTCATGCCACATTAGACTCATTCAGGTAAAACAATGAGTCCCTGTACATGAACATTCCTGGCCATGCAGTAACCTCAGGTCCTGTATTTTTCTCCACATCCTCTGGTCACAGTGCAGCAGCAGGAGGTAAAATATATCCACAAAACCACATGCAGTCAATGAATTCCGCTTTTACAATTGCACCAGTGGATGTCAGGCAAGCTTGCATGAACATGCAACTGCCTGAAGAAGATGACCATTCAAGGAAATCCGTAAACTATCACATAATACTTTACTCTGTTGGGAAAAAAAAGTCTCACGAGCAAGATTTTGCCAGACTTGTATAAACTAAGTTGCTTATTCTGCACAGAAGTACTAGAACATGTGTACATCTCATTTTTTTAGCTTTAGCTCATGTTTAAGATGATAATTCAATGTCACAACATTGTAGATGGGTCAGAAATCAAGGAAAAGCATGGTCATTTTAATAAATGGCAGAATCACAGGTAATGAGATGGGTTAGCACTTCTAATTCTCTATTTAGTCAATTGTTATGGTATTTGTGGAGCTTTTACATGTGCATAGCAAGAGCAAATATCTTTGTGGGGAGTCTTTCTGAACAAAAATAACACCTTTCAAACCATTTCTTTCCTAGTATAACCCAAGTGTTGAGTGCTCAGAAGAATGGAAGTTGCTAAGTTGAAATCCTTATGGATGAAGGACTCTGGAAATTAGGCTGAACGCTTAAAAAAAGAAATAAAGAAACAAACAAAACATTTATCTTATGCTGCATGAAAGGCAACAGTGTCTGCTAAACAACAAGGATTGTCATTAATTAAAGTTCTGCTTGCCCTCCAGCTCCACTGATGCTTGTCATGATTGCTGTAATGCAATAAGATCAGCAGATCATGGCTTTTTATGACCCAGGCCACCCTGAATCAACTGAAATGACTGCTTTTCTTTATTTTCTCTTTTATTTCTTTATCTCCTCCTGGTCCTTTTCATCTTTCTCTTACCATTTAAAGACAAACAGATGGGTGGGTGTTGCAGGGTTCTTTTCAGTGTACAATTAATTAAGGTTTATAGCAGCTGATGCGTCAGATTCACACTGACCTGCAATTAAGGAGAATACTTACATTTGGAGATCTGGAGATATAACAGCCTAAGTACAGCCAACTACCATGGAAAATAATCCTTTTCACTAGGCTTTATAATCCCATTAAAAGTTGATTTATGACATTTTTCTTTCGTTGCCTCATGTTTTTCCTGCACTGGTCTATATTTGTGAGGAAAAATATTCTCATATCAAGGTGAGAATTATTTCTGAAAGATATTATAAATGGGCAGAAATATGAAAGCACATCCCAGCCAAAATGTTGGAGGGTGCACAAACCATTTTTCAAGCGCAATGCCTGGGCTAATTTACATATATTTGAATATTCATGATCTGGGAATCCACAATGAAGGTCAAAGACCAGATATGTTTTCAGGCCCTCTTATGTTTTCTGATTTTAACTTTTTTTGTGCAAAAACTCTATTAGACAATTTATATTTCATAGCAGAAAATGTTTATATGTCTTACCAGGTCTCTTGAGGGCATCTATAAGTCAATGAGAAGCAGAGCTTGCTTTGGAGGACGGGAGGCTAGATCTCAGATACACAAAGGGCCTGAAGTTTGGGTGCACTGGGGACCTGGATCGATTGAGATCTGCAGGGGCTGCACTGGGATGCAGGTTGGGGCCTAACAGGCGTGGTGCCGACAGGAGGTGAGGCAGGTTGGGACTTAGCAAGCCTGGTGCTAGCCAAGTGTAAGGCAGGCTGGAGGCTAGCGGGCCTGGTGCTAACCTCATGACAAGCAGACCGGGAAAAAGGCTCTGGAACAGACTGATGGTTTACTGATTGTGATACTGGCAGAAGGCTAGCTGATTTTGGGACAGTCAGCAGCCAAACCAGCCCTATCCTCACTTGGATCTCGTTGAATGGGAAACAGACTGGCGGCAGCTAGGAAGCTCAGTGCTGGCTACTGGTCAAGCTGACTGGGAAGCTGACTGGAGACTGGCTCATCCCATGCTGCAGGCTGGGAAACAGGCCCGTTGCTAGCATGCCTATTACTAGCGCCAGGAGAAATAACTGGGAGGCCAGGTGCTGTGAGCAGGCCCAGTGCTAGCCAATAAGAAGGATGGTGGGCAGTCCCAAAGGTCTGATGGCTTCAAAAGCAGTCATTGTAAATGATTCCAGTTTTTCAGGGAATTTTAGTAACTGAGACCTAGCACTCTGGAACTTTGTACTTACTGCCAAAATGTCTGATTGTTCTTGGGTGACAGCTCTTCTGTGTCAGGCTACCAGATAATCAAGGCCAGTCTTCAAGTCCAAATATTTCTCCCTTATGGATTATGTGTTTGCTGGATCCATGTTGGCAGGATAATACTATTAATACAATTCTGGTTAGAATCAGCAAACAAGGAGAGAGGACCCAAGGACCCACAATTCAGACAGGCTAGAAGATAAAATTAGTTAATAGTGCCATTGCACCTCCAGGATTTTCTTATATGACTTACTGTATACCAGCAGCCAACCCTGCAGGTCTCTAATGTAAAGGACTAGAGTTTGTGTCTTTTTAAAGTCAGACCTGCTCTAGCCTCACTACAATAAGGTCACAATATTTCTGTACTGCCTCTGTACCCTGGCACTATATGGACATTGTGAGATCCAACCATCTGATAGTGGTGTTTCTACAGTGTCTAAAGGGATGGGAAAGTTATAAAGATTTGTATTTAAGGTTTTTGACATGTAATGTGAATACAAGTTTCAACACCAGAGAAGGAGTTTCACCATGCTTTGTCATTCTGGATGGAGTGTTTGACAAACACATGCATGTGTAAAACACTTCAGTGACCTCCACTGTATACACAAATAGGATGAGTGACATTCCAACATTGCCGGAGATTTCAAGGAAGTTACATCATTTTGCCAGAAAACCATGAAGTGGCTAGTTTTATAACGGAATACAAATGTCTAGCTTTGACACCTCTGTTTTATGTTTTCAAAGACAAAGTGATCTCTGGATGCACTGACAGAACTGAGGAAAACTGCTTTTATGTGTTGTACATATTTCACATTTTTACATTTTTTTGGCTTCATCTCCGCTGTTGCACACAGTCTTTACTTTGTTCCTCTATGAATGCTTGAGAATGTAATACTAATAAATAAAGCTGTCACTAAGTCAAAAACTAATGAAAAAAAGTGAAAAGGATGTAAACACATAACTTACATAGCTTGGACTTAAATGTTTTAAGGGTGCTGATACCTAAATTCTGTAAATTCTTAAGAGAACAGACTTTTTTCCATTGTGTTTTACATCTGCATTTGAGAGTTAGGGAAAATATAAATGATAAATAACCTTTTGGCTGACTGGTTCTTAGCCCTTGACTCTTCCATTACAATATTGGAACATACAAATATGGAGGACATTATCCTGCTTATACCATGGCCACTTGCCAACAAAG